CCTTGCTGCTATCCAACTGATAGGCACTTGTAGAGACAGATGCCTCATTACCCTCCAAAGATGGGAGCTCTTCCTCCAGTAAGTGCATTTGGGAGCTGTCTGCCAAGCTGGGATCTGCGTTTGTAGAGTTTCGTCTGGATCTAGCCATGCGACAGTCTGCCCAACAGCATGTGGGCAGAAATAATTCCCCAGTCCTGACCTTTAAGAAGCACCCACATGATTCCTGCCTTCCTCTTTTGTCATCAACTAGCTGAATGACAACATTCTGGGAATCCTAGGAGCCATGACTATAATGTGTCATTGTCCTTGTCAGCCTGACTCCCTGAATAACTGTGTGATACACTGTTCTTCACTTCTCCCTCCACACCTGGATTTTACAAGAACAGGAAATGAATTTCTGTTATGTTAAACCATTGGAATTCTACAGTTACCTGTTAAAATAAACCAGAAGAATAAGAATAAGATTAAGTCACTATTGTGGTGCACCAAGGAGATAGTGAGTCTTAGGCTCTCATTTCTGGGACAAAATACCCAACATCCACAAGTTAACGGAGGAAAGATTTCTTTTGGCTCACAGTTTATAGAGGTTTCAGTCCATTGTTGGTTGGCTCCAAGGCAAGGTGGCAATGCAGAAGAGCATCACAGAGGAGAAGCAGTTTGTGGCAAGGCAGGCGGGAAGCAGAGAGATCCTTCTTCTTTTTCTTTTTATTCTATTGAGGCTACAAGCCTATTAGTTGGTGCCACCCACATCCAAGGTGGGTCTTCCCTGTCAGTAAATCCATCATCCACACCCAGAAATATACTAAGCCAATCAGTGGAATGATCCAGTATCACACACCCATGATCCAGTAACTTTCAAGAACCCCACCTATGCGTGTATGAGGCTTTGTAAGGAAATCTACATATAAGCCATAATAGGGTCTGTACAGAAAGCGAGGCATGGGGACTTTGAGAGTTACCACACAGGGCAAGATGGAACCACAGCCTTTGGCCATGCAAGATGGTGAGGCGGAAAGAAAAGGAGATTTCCTCCCTACGTGAGATCCCTCCAATGGCAACCATTAATGAATTTGGATTTAGGAACATCTGAGCACATACATAGATTCAAAGTCCAATACTGCAACATGTAGGTCTCAAATCTATACTACTCAAGGGAAGCGTAGAACTCCCATATCAAGATAATGATGTACACAAAAGCGCTTCTTAGAAACATGAAACCTTTAGGCCATTGGCAAAATATACCATGAAGCTTCCCTTGAGATATTTCTATAACCCAGAGTATAAATGTTCTTATGCAAAATAAAGAAGCTAAAGATGAGGTCACAATATAGATGTGCAAGTCATATGAGGACAAGAGGTCTCAGGAGATAATGTCAACAGACACAACAAGTGTGAAAATAGGCACACAGGAAGCAGGAATAACAGTTTTTAAGTTGTATGAATATAATGGAATATTTAAATTTTAGTATGTTCAAAAATATTAAAACTATAAAAGAAGGGATAGAAAGTATAATGAAAGAATATGATCTCTAAACAGGCAAAAGAACAAATTTGAAAGAATCAAACAAAGCTACCAGAAATGAAAGCCATAGCCATTAATCTCAAAAACAAAGAAATGCCCATCAACTGGAGATTGGATAAAGAAAATGTGTTTTTTTATAAAATGGAGTACTATTCAGCCATAAAAAATGAGAAATTAGAGACATTTATAGCTGAGTGGATGTACATTGAGGCCATACTCTTAAGTGAAATAAATAGGACGCACATGTATAAATACCAAATAGTTTCTCTGGTGTGAGAAACTGAAAGTGTAAATAAGGACTAAATGTATAATAAGTAATGTGAAATGGGAAGAAAAGGGGCAAAGGGGAAGGAAGTGGGAGGGCTAGGGGAAAGGATAAAAGGGAATGGAATTTATATGAGAAAATGAAAAAACAAGAACAAAATCTTTGTAAATAGGGAGGGATGGAGGGGTTGAAGGGAGGGCTGGGCAAGGGTGAAAAATAAGAACCAAGAGAGACTATGTAAAGGTGCAAATTTCCAATGATGAATGTCATTATATTGTATACCTAAAATGTACCAATGATTAGAATGAATAATCGATAATGTAAAATAGGAAGAAAAGGTCCAAAGGGGTAGGGGTAGTGGGAGGGGCAGGGGAAAGGAAAGAAGGGAAAGGAAAAATGCTGAGAAATGGAAAAAATGGAAATAAAGTCTTTGTAAATAGGGAAGGGTGGAGGGTGTGAAGGGAGGGCTAGGAATGGGGAAAAAATAAGAACCAAGATGCATTATGTAAAGGTACAATTCCCAATGAGAAATGTAATTGTGTTGTATACCTACAATGTACCAATAAAAGAATTTAATACAAAAAAAACCAAAGTGAAAAAAAATTTAACTAGCAGATAAGATACAGCTAAAGGTTCAGAGAATTGAAGAAAGATTCAAAGCAATCAGCCATAATTTAGAATAAAGATATAAATGAGACTAAAACACAAGAGACTGACACTTAGGAAAGTAATTAAATTCCAATATATATCTAAAAATAGAGAAGGGGAGAAAAAATAGAAATGGGATTGAGGTAATATTTGAAATGATAACACCTGACAATTTTCTAGAATTAGAAGAAGGGGGGCTGGGGATTTAGCTCAGTGGTTTCGCCACCTGCTGCACAAGCACAAGGACCCGAGTTCGATCCCCGGTACAAAAAAAAAAAAAAAAGGGAAAAAAACTATGAAAAATAGAAATGTCAAAATAAAATCATAATGTGAATTTACTTTCCTTTTTAGGAGACAAAGAATTATAGATTAGATTTTTAAAATCCAGTTATATGTCATGTGCAAGAGCTACTCATTATGGCAAGGAAAGGTTGAAAGTAAAAGGATCGAAAGAGAAAAAGAATGGAAAATTTAACACTAAGCAAAAAAAAAAAAAGGGTGCCCCATTCTTTTTTTTTTTTTTTTTGGTGACACAATACTTTTTACACTCAAAGAAGTAACAGCCTTGGGCCAGGGATTTAGCTCAGTGGTTCCACCACCTGCCTTGCAAGAGCAAGGACCCGAGTTCGATTCCCGGTACCAAAAAAAAAAGAAGTAACAGCCTTTTAGCAAGACCATGAATGCATGCTACTGTCTGACCCACAGAAAGACAAACTGCTTCTGATTCTCTCTCCTAATGAGTACTGAAAAGAACACACATGCAGATCAATAGCCACGTACAGTGAGCAGAGACTGTGTTAATCTTTTCTAATAAAGATACATCTGACAGAAGCTTTTGCAATGGAGGCTCTTAGGTGGAATGTTACTGTCATCAGTTTAGGGGAGGTAGGTAGACTATCACAATAAACGCACATCCTTTAAATATTTGAAGAGAGCACTAGCACCTGTCATCTTCTCAATAGTGACATTTTCTTCGCTGGGACAACCATTTCAGGGGCTTCCACTTGTCCTTTCCTACTCTAACAGTCTATGCTGTGGGTCACAGGGACTAGTGTGGATTCTGTCAGCAACTTAGGTTGGCATTCTTTTTTTTTTTGGTACCGGGGATCGAACTCAGGTCCTTGTGCTTGCGCAGCAGGTGGCGAAACCACTGAGCTAAATCCCCGGCCCGGCTGGCATTCTTATTGTATACTCTGAAGAAGAAAGTGTTACTGGGAGGACCATGGACCCAGAGGGTCCAATGTGATGAGAACCATGGACCAAATTCTGTTTATTATATGACTTCTATGTGTCCCTTCTTTAAAGAAAGGAGACCACTATGTCACTTTTTGTCCTCAAGAATCAGTGTTAACTTGGAACTTGTATCCAATGGTGTTAAAAAAAGACTGGGCATACTCCTTTCATCAGTGTATGGTTCCCCACATAAATGGCTGTAGGCTCCCTCAGGGAAGGATGGGAGAATTACTAAGCTGTACAAGCATGGTGTTTCATGGGAAACCAGCCTTTCCAGTTGATGGTTTCTAAAACTTTTTTTCAAAAATCCCTAAAAAGGAAAGCTCAGGCTGAAAATCAGGCACAATTGTGAATGAGACTGTTTAGTCACGAGAAAGTCATCAACAGACTTGGAGGCCAGTGACTGCAAGCTACTTGAAAAGTAAAGAAGATGGGATGCTTTTTCCCTTTTCCTATGCTTTCAAAATCATTACTACAGATAAAATCCACTCAAGTTTGCAGTTGCAAACTCCTCTGAGCAGGCTGATAAGTCTGTGGCCCATAGGAAGTTCAGGTAGGGGATTAGAAAAATCTCAAGGTTTGAAAACTAAATGGAAGGCATTCCAGCTAAGGAATAAACAGTGATCTACTTCTCTCTCAAGTAGATAAACATAGCCCATCTCCTCCTATAAGAACAATGACCCTGAAGGAAAGGATGTCCCTTGAAAGATCCTGTTAATCAGATAAATGTTCGATACAGGTGCAATCTTGGTGCTTGCCCTCCTTCGTGCTTGGGGATGTTTTCTCTCTCCCCTGTCCCCTGTCCCCTCTCTCCTCTCTCTGTCTCTCCCCATCTCTCTGAAAATCTACTATTTTGCATTGGATTCTGCCTAAACTCTACATGACACCCTACATGTCCTGTCTTAAATCTTTCATCAAAAATACAAAGAATCCAAACGTGTTTCCTGTTCCTCCTGGTGTTGGGACCTGGCTCCCCAGTCATAAGATTGATTGTTCAGGGAGATTTCAAGAACTCAACAAGAAGCCAGTAAGCCAGTAGTCAGGGAAGAGGGGAGAACCCACATCACCCTAACAGCTGTCTACAGCCAAAAAGAATAGCTGTGAAGCCAAGGCCACTTGCTTTGCCCAGCTTTAAATGTGGTGTAGGTTTAATTTTTATGTCACTTTTGTTACCATCAAACCTATGAATTTGTTAAATCAGTGGAAAGTATCGTATCAGTCATCTTTTAATGGAAGATTGTGTTTGACTGTGAGAGCTTTTCAGAGACTTGTATGACAATGTAATAGGCTGAGGTCCTACTAGAGGAGAAAATAAATAAACACTTGGAAACCTACAGAAAGCTGAATTTTTATTTTCATAAATAAATCTAAAATAACAAATGCATGCTCCAATTTTACAATACCTTATAGAAATTACAGTCATTACTGGTTGTGGAAAGTTCCAAATGCCAATTAACTGTGTCATCTAAACAGATTGGACTCTGGCAATGGAAATGCCACCTTCTTTGCAGAGGTTTGCTTTTCATTCTTTGGGAATGACAGAGATAAACTGGCCATGTTCAGAAGAGGTCCGCTAATGAACTCTTCATGGTTACAGGACCCAGAACATGTGTATTTTGTGTTTAACTGGCTTTGTTTCTCAAACGTGGAAGGGAAAACAAAACTATTTGAATTCACTACAGTAAAAGAGGTGAGTATTTCACAAACTGAAGCAGAATTTTAGCCAAATCCTTTGTAAATTTTGTAGTGTATTCCCATGGATGGATGTATACAAAATGTGTGTAATATGTATGATCTAGTGTCTCTTTTTAAAAATATTTTATTTATCTTAAAAATTTGTACCTGTGTTTCTCTGAGTATATCTTATAAAAGAAATAATGTTTAAATATATTTGAATTTTATCAAATAAACAACATGCATATGAAACTGTAAAAAATACATGATAAAGCTTAATATTTGCTAAATAAAAGCAGAAGTATTTTTTAATGCACTAAATTTCTGTATGTCAAATGTTTCTATTGTATTCATGAGAAATGCTATGAAAAGTATTCATACATGAAATATTAGCAACACAGCATCATAAACAAACCATAAACCATCCAAGTGCATTTTAATTACATAAAATGCAGATCTTTTTACTCACAAGATACAATAAACTTTTGTGTTTTAGAGCATGCAGTGATACAGAAGTAAAAACCTAAATGCGCATAATTTGATAAAAACACAATTTTCTTTATGAGCAGACATTCTGAACATAACAAATCCTATAAAAACAATGAGCTCAACTTAATCTTCACTTATAACACCAATAATTGCACATTATTATTGTACATATTAAAGATTTAAGACACAAGGCAAACAATGAATCAAGACAACAAAATAGGCTTTCTCCAAACTTCTAAAATCAACTACAATCATTCCCTTTTCCCATATGCCATTACATTTGTGACAGTAACTGAAACACTCAATTAAACTATATGGTTCAAGTTGATGAAACTGCAGAGAATTCATTTGGTCCCATTCACAGATTAAAGCTAAATCATTGTTGGCTTAAGTCAATGGAGTTCCATTAGTTACCTCCTGATTTCATAAATTCTTTATTGTTATCCAGACATTTTTTAATTCTTTCCTAATCCCCCATCTCCTCCTGATGTTATGCCTCATCAAAAGCAATATAATTTTTTCCTCATCAACACATAGGGACCCTCTTTCATTCTCCATCTGTCACTCAAACTTCATGGGAAGAACTGTAAGAGTTTCACGTGGGAAGAACAAACTGCGGACCCATCCACATACCAAGAGGTTCTTAAAGCAAAAATCTTGTGGGATTTATAAAAATTCTATTCAGTAACAAAGAACTGTATGCACTCATTGCCTTTGAAAAACAGGCTAACCTTAAAAAAATGATTCCAGCCCAAGACACTGCATTCACACAAGAAAGCTAAAATGCTTCTACACTATTATATAAACTAATGGGCCAACTCAATTTATTTGTGGTGCACCTGGGTACCTAGTACCAAAAGGAGTACCAGATACATTCAAGTAAGACATGCACACACACATTCAACAACAGTAATTAACCTTTTGACAGGACCTGTGTTGGTATGAAATATTCTGCATCTAAGGTATGCATTACTATAGGTGGCAGAAACTGCTCTGAAACCACCTCAGAGAAACCAGATAGGTATGTCTATTATTTAATGAGACTTCATTCAATATTGGTCTTTGGGAACCAATATTTAAAGCACCATGATATATGTCAGTTGTTAGCATTTTGCCTCATGTTTTTACACATTGTTTCTTTCAACCTCAACCAAAAGAGCCATATTCTATTAATAATTCTGTGCCTATGGAGGCATTTTTAATATTTAAAGTGTGTGTGTGCATTCCATATAAGTACTGGATATCCATCTATGTATTATATTTCTGTTCAACTTGGCAATGGTTCATATGTGATGCTTTCTGTTCAGCAATTAATCTACACATTTAGCTTTGCTTTTGCTACTTGTTGAGCAAACAAATGTGAAGTTAACTCTTTAGGAGAGTTGTTTAATAAGAAAAGGAACCCTTCCTGTTGTTATAATATTCAAATTATTTTTCTAAGTGAATGAATCTCATCTTTTGTGTATAAGCAGGTCATCCAATGAAAATTCTGAGATGCTAGTTTATCAGTTATACATTGGAAGCATTAACATTAAACTTCCCATTAATTGGTCCAGGTGTCCAACTGACTGACATCTGGCTGATCTAAGCCATATATATGGGGTGGCTTATCTTTACCCACCAGGGCAACAGTGATCACCTTCAGAATAAAGCAAGAGGCAAGGAAAGATCGTACTCTTCCCTATGAGCCTACCTTTATCATATTCCCTAAAAAATTGCTAAGGGAAAAATGTTAAATAAAAAGTCATTCTATAAACACAGAGAAAAACAATGAGTAAAAGTTTTCCTTGGTCATGGTATCATATTTCATAACAAGAAGTCAATGGGCACTCAATAGCTATTTTCACAGAAGCTAAGCCAGATGAAACATCTGCAGCCTGAAAATGACTTTAGTCACAATCTTCTTTCATTTGCTCTGAAAAACTCCTAATGTTCCATTCTGCTAACAAGCCAGGTGATTACAAGTGCCTTAAAAATCCAAATAAATTTAATAAAGTAATTACACAAAATTAAAACTAGGAAACCTATGTATACAACATCACAAAGAACTAATGTCTCAAAGCATTATATTAGTTATTACATGAAAGCTACCTAAGTTTTTACATAGCACCTTCTCTATATAAAACAATACCTGAAGCCTAACCAAGATCTCTTCCATTCGCTCACATAGAGGGTCCCCAGTTCTGTCACCTAGCGTGCCATAGAGACCACTATTGCTGCAGAGAAAACTGCCACATTTAGGAGATGAATTGGCTTTCATTATTTATTTCAAAGTCATCTCCAAAGTGATGTCCACAATTTTAATTCTCTGTACATGATTTCTTGGATTACCTATGTCATTTATTCATAGTTTCAGTAATATGTCTGCAACTTGTTTTAAGGTGGCAAATTGTTTTTCCTTCCCTCATGATAGGTCACAATTTCATCCCATCAACAAGTATTAAAACATGTACAAACAAGAAAATATTATACCCTCATTTAAAATTGTTGATACAATTATTGTGGCCTATTAACTTCTTGAAGTATACTGAAAATTCCAAACTTTATTTTCCTGTAAGCTATCAATGTTGTACTTTATTAAAATAATGCATCAGGAGTTCCTTACAACCTAAGAGTCATAGTACAATGAAGAAAAGAACAAGTAGGAAAAAAGAGAAATTATGAAAGAATAAAAGCGAAAGAGCAGGAAACTCTATTAAAGAAAGAAAAAAGAATCACCTGGAGACTTGGCTAAAATTCCTTATATTTACCCACTTACTTTTATAAACTATTTAAAACCACTAACCACAGACTAATAGTTGCGCTGGAATTTAAGATTAAAAGCCCAGCTGGTCTCTTTCTTGTACCACATGAGATGTTTGCTTGTGGTATTCAGTGCTTCCTGTTGTCCATTTGAAAATGTAAGTGTGCTGGCAGAAAGCAGAGACTAGATTTCCCACCAGAACTACAGTGCTCATTTATAATTTATTTCCTAGATTAATAAATCCTTATGTCATTACACATTTCAAATACTGTTACATTATAATCTCTATTCCTACTTCCTATTTGTGTAAAATATTAAAATAGCTGTTAGGAAAAATACATCTATTTTCTATAGTATTAAGTGCTTTAAAAAACCACCAACTATTTTGATTCCAAAATCTGGTTATAAAACTTGGAGGAAGATAAATCTTTTAAATTTATGATTAATAATAAATCTTATAAAAGCACTAAAAGTTAAAATTTCCATACAACCTCTACATAATTAAAAATATATTCTTTAATGTGAGAAAAATATATCATTTCTGTATTCGAGGGAGAAAGACATAATAGCTACTAATAATCACCAAACTAATGTAATTACGTTTTTCCCATATACACCTCACAAGGCAAAAGTAAATTATTAATCCATCTACAAAGTGACAATCAGGATCTGGTTTCATTAGGACAATTTTTAAAGATTTTTTTCAATTTCTATCAGATGGCTTTAAGTTGTATAAGAAGGAATCTGCTGGAAAGACTAAATATAACCAACTATGAAAATAAATGCTGCTATCTCCAGAGGCAAAAATACCATAGGACAACCCTCGTAGAAATAAACCAAAAAGCAAGTGAAATTGAGCAGTCACAAACTCCTTACTGCCTTTTCCCCCTTCCTATTACATTGTACTGTTTTCTGTTTAAAAAAAAAAAAACTAGGAAGAATTCAACCCCTGTAATAACCAGTATCAGGTTTTCTATTATAATAACATGAGGGAGAAAAAACGGATATCTAGTTTAAAGTTATCTAGTCTTTCCCTTTAAGCTTCTCTTTCTAAAATTATTGGTACAAGTAGACTGCATCTGTGAAAATCCATAGGAGTTCCAGAATTTGCAAACTATCCAGTCAGTCATGACCGAGTGTTCCCTCACTGCTGTTTCCTGAGGGTGCACCCTTGCAGTCACGGGGTGGAACTGGAAAGCCCCTGACATTAGTCACTAGTCCTCTGCAGGAATGTTCCTCTAGCCAACAGGAGCGCTTTGCTTTGTCTTTCTAGTTCACACAAGGTGGATTTTGGCTAAGGAGAAAAGAGGAAAGGAATGTGGATAAGTTATGGAAACATTTCAATCTGTTGCTATCTCCAAATTAGCTCTGAAACCAAACTGCAATTTGTTCATTCAAATTTATTGCTTTAAGAAAATAATACATGTTGTCCTATTACCAATTCTTTAAATTCGATGCTATCTTGGATAAATACTTTACAACAAGCTGACATTGAATAATCCTGCTTCTAAATTTATAATAAAGGGTGCACTCAGAATGATCCTACGTTTATGCTTACAAACATAAGTCACCAATTGTCTTCCAAGGCAAGTTCTTCTCTGTCCTCCTTATTTAATTCTTCTAAGTGACTTTCAAAAACACATGCCACAAAAATAAGACATTGTCCCTTAGTAGCTGCTAAAAGTTATCTAGTCTTTCCCTCAGGCTTATATTTTTAAAATTCAATAAGCAGTATTCATCCATATTGTCATATTATGTTTAGCAACGACTGTGCTTATAATTCAAGTATTGCAACCTTTTTCTTATAATCCATATACTTGCTTTTAAAAAATCATCTATGCCACAACAGCATAGTCCTTATTTTGTTCATTGTTTTCATTTTCTTGAGGACTAGTGATTTTTACTTCTGGTCTTGGTGGTCCTTGAGGGTCTAAATCAGCCTGGAGGAAAATAGAGCAAAACAAACATACTTAGCTCTTTGGGTTACAAAGGTAACAAAACTGACAAAGAAAAACTTACTCAATGTTCTATTTAATCATGTAAGTATTCAACTAGGAGCAGTTCCTTGGGCCCCTTTGTGTTTCCATCTACCCAGTGGACCTGCCATACCCAGCCCTTTATTTGTACAGGTTTTTCTGGGACCATAATCCACTATGTGTTTTAAAAGCTCAGGCTCATTTCTTATGCTGCAGGCTTTATTTTTCTCAATTTTTTCTTTATTTCCCTTTGAGCTTTTCTTTTCAAAAGCACATTTATACTTTTTAGTGGAGCATTTGAGAGATAAGGGAAGAAAAATGCAGCAGCTTCCCCTCATGCCTCATTAACCTGCTCTGATCCTCTGTCTCCTGGTTCTCTCATGGTGAATGTGGTGCCCAAGTGCCATCAGATACCAGGTCGTAAGAGCAGGACAGACCATCAAAAGGCAGAGGGAGCTCTGCTCTCACAACAACACTTGTTCTGCCACTTGCACTTTTCATATCTTATTAGTTATATTGTCTCATTTATAATTTGCCTTCCTTCATTAGATTGAAAACTGATGAAGATGGGAGTAGATGGTTCTCAAACTATGCCCCCTGCAATCCTGAACACTCTACTGGGCCAAAGGGCTCAGCTGAGGGGAAAACACCAGCTCCAGCTCCCCAAATCCCATAGCCATAATTCCAGGATTTTTGTTCCCAAAAAAATAGATATCTATCTATCTGTGTGCATATTCCTGGAGTAATGTCTTATTTCACATTACCTTGTGGAACATCTCAAATGGTATTTTGACTATAATGCGAGCTCACAATCTCAATAAATATCAGTTGTTCATTGTGCATTTGCCTTGTGTTTCCTGCTGTTTCTACAATCATTTCTCACTTTGCACAACAACTGTCACTTGGAACACAATGTTTCATAATAAACCAAATTTTAGTCATTTGGTAAGTACAGAGTCCTTTTGCAAGAGGTAATTATTAATTTATAATTCACATAAATATGCATGTTCATACATTTGATATGCATAAAGCATATCTATACTAATGCATCAAGGGAAATGAAGATATGATAGATCATTATTACAAAGGAGAGATGAGTCAAGTTAAGATTAAATCTCCATGTAAGTAACTTCTCTGCTCACGCATTTGCATTGTCCTTACAATCCCTACCTAGTCACTTATGAGGCACTTGCTCATATGGATACCCGAGAATTTGGATTCTTCCTCATTACATACCAGTGACACCTGTACCTCAGGCCTTCTCAAAATATATAATCTTGATTTTTGACTGATGCCAAATTCCTATCAAAAGCCTGTTTTTCTCCTTTATTGTTAAAGTTAATTTATTTTAATTGGCAAATAAAATTGTATATATTTATGGCATGTAATATGATGTTTTAAAATATGTGTGAGCTATGGAGCAACTAAACTGAGTTAACATATGCCTTACCTCACACACTACCATCTCCCATAGTGAGGACAGAAAATCTCCCTTGGTGATTTTCAAGTACACAACCCAGTGTCATTAGCTACAATCACCATGGACTCTAGATCTCTTAAACTTGTCCCTCCTACTTGAAATTGTGTATCCTTTGGCCAACATCTCCCTAATTCCCACCCCTGGGCCCTGGTAACCACCAGTCTACTCTCTGCTTCTACGAGTTTCAACCTTCTTAGATTCCACATGTAAGTGAAATCATGAATTGTTTGTTTTTTCCATGTCTGGCTTGTTACACTTAATAGAATGTCTTTATCCATGTTGTTGCAAATTACATAATTATTTTCAAAAGTTACATTGATGGAAGCCAATCAATTCATTTCTATAAACCTAAGTTACATGTTGAATTACACTAAACCATCAGAAAAACAGCACACAAGGATCTTACTATCTAGACCCACTTACTTTCTCATAAACTTTTATCAAAGGCCACTACAACAAAGAGTTTTATGAAGTCTACTACTAGAGCAGCCATATAAATAACACTGAGGACTATGTAGAACTACATATGAGGAATTTCTTACAGAATAGGGCTGTGATTATGTCATTTTGAGTAAAGATAAAATGAGAAACATACTGAGAAGTTTCATTTAGATGTTAAGAATGTTTTGTATGAGCTATACAGTGGATTACAGATAACTTTGTACTGGTTACTGAAACCTAGCCACAAGAACATTTTGCACTTTGCCATTGTTAAACTTGTTCTTCTCTCTTGTATTTTGCTAAACATAACAGAACCTGGTGTTCTGAGGGCTTGATTCAATAAATCCATTTAAAGTGAGCTAAACAAACGACAATTCCTCTAGAGAGCAAAGAAGTCACTGGTAATAGAGATGATGTTCTTTATATCACGTCTAGGTCTCACTGTTCTTGATATCCTTTTCTGGTTTAGTCTTCCCTGGTTTTAACTTTTTGTATTTTTGTATGTCTCTCTTTTATTGTATATGTTCTTAAAGAACTCTGTAAATTTTGTACAACAAGGTGGGAGATGGATGGATGGATCTATAGTGGATGAATAGATGGATGGATGGGTAAATGAAAGAATGACAGACATATGGACTGTCAGCTAGGTTGGCAGCCATATATGTTAACTGACTGAAATATGTAGCAATTAATTAGACAGTATTGGATCTTTCCTACTCTAGCATAAGGGGTTTTTGTTCAGATACATTCTTGTACAGACAAGTGTGAGCAAAAGCAATAGGAATACCTCATCCTGTCCACTGCCAGCTCCTGGAGAGTTATGTTCCTCATCTGCTGCTGACTGAAGCTCATTCTTAACCTGGCCCAGCTCCTCTCCATTTTCTTCATCAGTACCTCCATTTACATGGGCAGGACTGGCCTTCTCCCCGCTGTGTTCAGGGGTATCAGCAGCATCCCTGCCTCCTTCATCTGCAGCTCCGCCATTCATCCCTGAAAAGTCTTCTTTCTGCTCTGCATCTATGTTTGCTTTCTCTTCATCTTCTTCCTCATCAACTATTTCTGCTGGCCTCTGATAGAGCAAAATAAATAACTGATAAAAGTACAAAATATAATGGAGGATTTTTTTCCTTTGCACATCTAGTAGTATAGTAATTATTATTATATTACTGTTAAGTAAAACTACCTTACATGTACATAGTACTTTACAGTATAAAATATGTTTACATGTACAAAATACCTGCCATGTGCCACACTTTCAAGTATTTTCTCATTTACACCTCACAACAATGCTGTGAGATTGGTCATAGTCCCAGTTCACACTTAGAGAGCCAAGTAGCCAGCCTAAGATCCCTCTGAGAGAGCCAGAATTTGAGCTAATCCTGTGACTCCAGAACCAATGCTCTACTCCCCACAGCAGAAGGAAACTAATTCACAAGGCCCTCTGATGCTTGGCAATGGAGTGTCTAACCAGAGAAGGGGGCTAAAAAGTCTTTGTGGAGAGATGACCACACCAGCACTGTGGGTCAGGGTAGCAGCCCTGGATCCAGTGAACTCAGCTTTTCTGACATGGAATGTGAATAGCTTTTCACATAATGCACGTAATGCCTGGGAGTTAACAGCTTGTCTATAAATACAAGCAGTATTTTATAAACTCAAATTAAGCATTTGGATATATGCAAGTTCACTTTAAAGGAGAACAGGAGGCCAAGTACCACAACCAAGACTCTGGGGAAATAAAAACCCAAGTTCAAGTCCTAGCCAGGCACTCAGTGGCTGCTACCTAAATTCTGTGAATTTCAGGTTCCCTGTTTGTAAAATGTGAAGGTAATAAAATTTCCATGGGGGTTAAATGAGACAAATTATAAAAAAAGACCTCTTGTACATCTTACCTGGCACATGAAAGATCCTTAACAACACTGGAATTTTTTCCCATTTATTATGACACATCCTTTCCTGGAGCTATCATATTTCTTTATTTCCATCAATAAAATAAGTTTTTTAAATGTTAGGGTAGAAAGAACACAGAATTTGTTTTGTGTTCAGATCCCACATCTGTCACTTTCTGGCTTTCTGATGTTGAATACTTAATCCTTTGGCCTTTGTAAAATGAAGGGTTAGGGCTCGTTATCCCTGAAATCCCATCCAACTCTAGAAATCAACTGTCTTCTAAGAAAAGGGTGTCTATGGTACATTAACAATCTTTTTATAAAAGTTAGCATACTGCTTTCCATTTGGGAAGTGAAGAAAGATGGAGATGAAGGGAAGTAGACTAACAGTTTAGAAAAATATTGCACACAACATTATTCTGAAAGAGAAAAAGTTGGAACCATGAATTTCTATCTTCTGTTAAAAATAAAGTCACAAGTTCAGTTAAATGATATCAAAGATGTACTTAAACAATAAAGGAAAAAAATAGCTATCCCAAGGTCCTGCAGAAACCAATGTTTGTATTATACAGACTGAATAAGACAGTAAGGCTGATTGTTTAATTTTTAGTCAGAGGCCTAACATCAAATGGCGTAGAGTCCACACTACCCCTTAGAATACTACCCAGTTGAAGCCCACAGGAAACCTGTCTTAGTTACTTTTTCATTTCTGGGATAAAATACCCAATATCCAAAATGAAAAAAGGAAAGGGTTTTTTTAGCTCACAGTTTATAAAGGTTTCAGTCCCTAGTAGGCTGGCTCCAAGGCAGGGCAACATAGCAAAGGTATGGTAGAGGAGAAACAGTCCATGGCAGGGTAGTCAGGAAGCAGAAAGCAGTGAGCCTCCATTTCCCTTTTATTCCATCTAGGCTACAAGTTTATTGGTGCCACTCACACCCCTAGTGGGGCTTCTGTCTTCAGTAAATTTATTCATCTCTACCAGAAACCACAGTATTCCAACCAGTGGACTGATCTGATCCAGTACCACACACCCTTAATCCAATATCACACACCCATAATCCAGCCACCTCCCAAAAGTCCTACCTATGAGCACATAGGGACATTTAGATATAACCCATATCAAAGGTCAAAGGCTGGACAAATACTCAGACCAGGAAGAGGATAGATCTGCCAGATGGTGCTGAAAAAACTGGTGAAAAGACCTGTGCAATACAACTCATTAGACTTGATAAAGAATATCTGAATTTCCATGTATGAGACCTAAAAGACTGAAGTGAGAAAAAACTCCAATCTCTTAAGGAGAAAAATCACATTTTCCCATCTCCCCACCACAACCTTGTGGCATCCCCTCTCCAAAGAGAACTAACAGGGGAAGATATTGAGGAACACACCTAAACTGATGAGGAGAGGAGAGCTTGAGAAAGGACAGGTGGTTGCTATAAAAGGACTATAAAGGACTGTTGCTATAAAATCAGAACAAAAGAAGATGCAGCACACAGGAAAACTGGTTTCATTTCTATACACTAACAATTAACAATCTGAAAAAATTATAAAATGATTCCATTTACAATAGCTTTGACATGAATAAAATAATTAGGAATTAACTTAACCAAAGAGATGAAAGACTTGCACAATGAAAACTACAAAACATTGCTCAAATATATTTTAAAAGATAAACATACTCCATGTTCCTAGATTGGAATACTTAATTTTGGTAAGATGTCAACACTACCACAGTGATCTGTAGATTCAGTAAAATGTCAATGACATTTCTGCAGAAATATTAAACTCCACCCTGAAATTCATATAGAATATCAAGAAACCCTAAACACTCAAAACAATCTTGAAAGGTAGGCACAAAGCCAAAGGAATCACACTTCCTGATTACAAAACTTATCACAGAGCAACAGTAATCAAAACCAATGGCATAAAGACAGACATGTAAATCAATGGAATAGAAATTCAGAAATAAACCTTAATTTATACTATAGTCAAATGATTTCCGACATGAGTACTGCTTTAGTTACTTTTCTCACTGCAGAGACAAAACACCCAACATCCACAAGTTAAGAGAGGAAAGGGTTATTTGGCTCACAATTTGCAAACATTTCAGTCCATAGTTGCCTGGCTCGCAGGCAGGTTGGCATGGCAGAGGGCCATCACAGAGGAGAAAGAGTTCATGGCAGCAGAAGACCGCAAAAGCAAGCAAGGGACAAGACAGGCCTCTTTCTGTCCCTTATGTTGTATCCAGGCTACTGGGCTTAGGATGGTGCCAACCCAATCAGTGAACTGATTTAGTAATCACCACCCTTAATCCTAGCACCCTTAATCCTAGCATTGCACCATGAATCCATCACACACTCTAGATTCAGCCACCTCTGAAAAAGTTCCACCTATGATTGTATGAGTCTTTGAGGAGACATCTAAACACAAGCCACAACAAGTACAAATGAGGAAAGGACAGAATTTTCAACAAATGTTGGTGGGAAATCTAAATCTCACATACAAAAGAATGAAGTTAGTGTTATGGATTATATCTAGATGCCCCGCCCCAAAGCCTCATGAGCTCATAGGTGGGAAGTGGTTGGATTATGGGTGTTTGATAACTGGATTGATCCACTGATTGGTTTACTGTAGACGGAGATAATGGAATTACTGAAGAGGGGAGCCCTACCCTGGGTGTGGGTAGCACCAATCAATAGGCTTGTATCCTAGATGGATTATACAGAGAAAGAAGGAAAGCAGGCTCACTACTTTTTGCTGCCCTATTATGGACTGTTTCTCCTCTGCCATGCCATCCTGCCTTGGAGCCAGGTGACTATGAACTGAAACATCTACAAACTATGAGCTAAAATAAATCTTTCTTCTTTAACTTGTAGGTGTCAGGTATTTTGTCCCAATAATGAGAAAGTAACTAAAACAGTTTGACTCATGCTTTACACCATATACAAAAATTCACTCAAAATGGATGAAAGACCTAAAGAAAGCCTTAAAGCTTTAAAGCTCTTGAAAGAAAATAGAGCAAAGCTTCATGCTACCAGATGGGGTAGTGATTTCTTAGATATAGCAGTAAAGGCACAGTCAACAAAAGAAAAAGAAATAGACAAATTGGACTTCGTGGAAATTTTAAGATTTTTGTGCATCAAAAGATACTACCAATAGAGAAAATATTTGTAAATCATAGATCTGCAAATCTGAATGGAGGTTTCATATCCAGATTATATTTAGAACTCCAAAAACTCAACAACAAGTACTGCAAAACAATTCAAACATGGGTAGAGGACATGAATAGACATTTCTTCAAAGAAAATTTACAAATGGCCAAAGGGCAAATGAAAAGACACTCAAATCAAACTTCAGTGAGATACCTCCTCATACCCATTATGATGGTTACTATCCCAAAAAGGAGAGGAAAAAAAACAGCAAACAAATGATGGAAAGGACATGGACAAATTGGAACCCTAATGTATTGTTGGTGGGAAACAATATGGCAGTTACTCAAAAAATTAAAAACAGAATTACCATATGATCCAGAAATTCCACTCCTGGGTATATACTGAAAAGAACTGAAAGTTGGATTTTGAGGAAATATTTGTACACCCAATTTCATAGCAGTATTATTCAATATAGCTAAAGTATGGAAGCAGCCCAAGTGTCCATTAAAAGATGAATAGATAAGCAACATGTGGCATGTTATTTAGCCTTAAATGGGAAGGAAAATCTGACATACGGTATACCACAATGACATTATTCTTAGTGAAATAAGCCAAATCACAAAAAGACAAAAAGTGTATGATTCCACTTTTTTGAGGTACTTAAAGCAGGTAAGACCATAGATGCTAAAAGTAGAATGTTGGCTGCCAGGGCTGATGGGGAAGGAGAATGGGAGATTATTGCTTAATGGGTATAAAGTTTCAGTTGTGCAAGATAAAAAAAAATCTAGAGATAAATGGTGATGATGATTGCCCAATATGAATGTGTTTAATATTTAAGTGTACTATATATACACAATGGTTACAATGGTAAATTTTACATGAACGTATTTTACCATAAAATAAGATTACGATTAAAAAAGTTAAAAAGAGCAGAGAAAATGTCCTGCAGCAAAGATTATATTTCTGCATCACTGAAGAATAAGGCCTTCTGGGAAGGGCAACAAAAAAGCCAGCACTGAGGACATGGAGGGGCTTCCTTACTCAGGCA